CCCCCGGCGCCCGCGGGATGGCCCCGGCCAGCCCAGGGGCCGTGGCTGCTGCCGGCCCCTTCCCAGCCAGGAGCCCTCCCCGCTCTTGCAACGCTTGGATGGGGTGTTTTGGGGTCAGACCATGCCAAAAATGGGGGGTTCTCTGCTGCTGAGACACTGGGTTACATGCCAGAGCGCCTGGATCCCTTCTCTCCAGGGGGTCACCCACCTCCTGGTGTTTCACATCCCTCCATCCAACAAACACCCCCTCCAGGACAGCTGTAAAATCCCCGGGATGCACAGGAATTACTGAGCCGGGAGCTGGGGGGATGTTGTGACCGTCCTTCCTGGGGCCCTGCAAGGCGGACCAGCCGGTGGCAGAAGGCCAGGGCAACGTCCAGCATCAAAACCAGCGGCAGGTTGGGGCGTTGGTGGCGTTTGGGGGTTTTTACTGGCTGTGGGGATCCAGAGCCCTTCGGAGCCGGTGCCCGAGGTTCCTTCTGCAGCCGTGACTCCTTCGGTCCGGGCTTTTCCCCTTAACCTGCAACCAAGAGCCCTGACGGCGCGGTGGCGGGAGCTGGCGTGGCGGTGGCATAGCCCGATACTGGGCACGGGGTAGTGCTGGGCAGGGAGACGCGAACTGGGTGTTTCTGCTGCTAACGCGAGCTGTTCTCCCCCTCCCGTCCCTGCCTCCGTCCCTCCCAGTTGCAGGAATACTACAAGAAGCAACAGGAGCAGCTTCACCTGCAGCTATTGACACAGCAGCAAGCCGGAAAGCAGCAACCCAAAGAGGTGAGCTCATGCAGACGGGTTCTGGGCCATCAGATCTGGCTCCAAATAAAAGGGGGACCAGCACAAAACAAGGTGGGGGGGGTGTGGTGTGAATCCCAGCACCCAGGGCAGCCAGCGGGGAGCCAGCGGGGACGAGGACATGAGGGCATCCTTCTCCTGGGGGGTGCTGGGTGTTGTTCCTCCTCCTTATCTGCGATCTGGCACGTGCGCCGATTTGCGTCGTTCTCAGCGCCGCATCCTTGTCGGCGCATCTAGAAACTATGGGGCGGGTGTGGGGAGCGGCGGAGTCTGCAACGGGTGTGGGTTGGGTTGGCAGTTGGGGCAGGTCACTGCACCCCGGGAACAGAGCAAAGTGTCCCCAAATCCTCCTGGTGGGGGGAGGCAAGAGGGGGTTTGGCTCAGCCCTTGCCCAGTGCAGTGGTCCTGCAGGCTCTCGGCGTGGGTCGGGTCGGGCAGCGCGGTCCCGCTTGAGCTGGCACGGCGGCACCCTGGCAAGTAGGCAGGACTAGATCCAGGTGGGGACCCAAACCAGGGCTCTTCCCGCCAGGAAGGGCGGTTCTGTAAAAAACCTAAGGGTCGTGTGAAACAGCAGCGATGCCGGCAAAGGGCTTTCCCAGCGGGAGACGCTCAGGCGGGGGATGTTGTCAACCCCCCGTCACCGGGTTGGCAGCGGTGGGTCCTTTGCTGGGGAGGTGGTTGCCTGGTGGAGAAGAGTTTATGTGGATGTGATCGCATCAGTCTTGTATAACTCCCTTCAGCCAACAGTTTTGGCTGTCTTTTCCCATATTAACCCACTCCGAGGCGTTGCGGCTGTGTCGGCAACGCTCAGTTTTGGGGATGTGCTGGTCGCACGGAGGCTGGGGGTCAACCCTGACCGGCAGCGGGCAGACAGCACTGCTCCCTTCCTTTTTTTTATATATTTTTGCCCCTCGCTATTCCCAGATTGGTGCGCGTGGTACCCCCTGGGGGTATTTTGCACCGCTGTATGTCTGGCATCACTGCCCTCTGTCTCAGGCATCCTTCTTTGGGCTCCCAGCGCGGAGGGAGGTGGAGCTGAGCCGCGCGGTCCCTGGCCCCGGCCGAGCATCGGTGGCAAGCAGGGGACCAGGGTGCCGGGGTTGTGCATTGCAATCGCCCCTCCTGAAATCCAGCACCCTGATTTCCGCTCGTCCGTTCTCAGCACTTCCAAATTCAACTGTCTTTTGAGGCAGAAAGCGTTTTAGCCCAGACTGCGCGCTGGGGTGACCGCAGCGGGGGCTCGACGGCAAAGCACGCACCAGCGTTGGGAGAACAGGGTGACTCGAGCGGCTCGGGGGCGGGCCGGCACCCACTCGAGCCTTCAATAGACTTTGACCCGGGCTTTCATTGCGGGATGTTGGTGTATTTACGCAGCCTCTGCGGGGTCAGGCTTTATCGGAGCCATCTCCAGGAGCTGGAGTAGCTGCTCGTGCTCCAGGAACAGGGGAGGCATAAATCTGAGCTTCCTCAAGGACTTTCCTCTTGGCTGTGGCGATGTTATATTGCAGCAACGAACGAGGATATAATTAAGCTCTAACAAAGGGCTTGCTTAGCGGGCTTCTGGTTTAAAAAACGCATGTTAACTTTTAATTAAATGGTACAGAGGAGACAAGAAATTTATCCGCCAAGAAAGTCTGAGTGGCCGATGCGGGTGGGAGAGGCATTCGATGCTGCTAAAGGGGGTGCGTGTCCAGCTCCTTGGCAGCATCGTCACCCCATGGCCGGGAAAAACAGCGAGGGAGTCCCTGTGCCAGGGGTGCCACAGTGTTTCCCTTCCCCAAAACCCCCGGCCAGGCTTTGTGGGGTCAGATTCACCTCATGAATTTAGGCAGCTGCTATTAATAAAGCCTGCGTTGGGCAGCAGCGCTTGCCTGCTGGGAACGGCGATGCCGTTGCTTCCCCCCTGACGGCACGGGGAATAGCCGGCGTGTCTGGGATGCCGCCGCAGAGCCGCTCTTGGCCGGCACGGGCTCCTTCATGGAAATCCACGGCGGTATTTAATTACGGCCCCGCTGCAAGGTTTGTAAACCGAGCGCCTTCTGCTTTCCCTCCGCTTGATTTCAAGGACTTGCCTGGGTGTAATTGTAAGTCGGCGGCTCGTTTGCGAGCACGGAGGGGGATCAGCAGGTGGGAACGGCTTTGTGCCAGCACCGCCGTGCCGGGAGAAGGTACCAGCGTCTCATGGAGGAGCAGCTCAGATCTCCCCAGCAGGAGCGGCACGGGTGGAAGGTCCCCCGGTGGGCACGGGGAAGGGGAGAGAGCAGGAAAAAAGGGAGCGCAGAGGATGGAGACGTGTCGGAAGCGCCTGTCGGCAGCGTCCTGTCCCAGAGGATGCGGGGGATGCTCGGTGTCGGCGAGTGGGGGGGTGCGAGGAAGGGGCCGAGCGAGGCAGCTGATCCATGGGCATCCATGAATCCCGCCGGGATGGGGCTGAGCCGCAGCACATCCCAGCCCATCCTGGAGCCTTTTCCTGCGTTAGGGTGTAAAGGCGAAGCCCCAGACCCCACCAGCATCGTGGGCACAGGCTGGGGGGGGGCAAGGAG